GGCTAAGGGTTAAGATGAACCAATGAGACTTCTGAAGGTCTCTGATTTAGTGACTGTAACCTCTTACGGATATTATTCGATTACTTAAGGTTGTTTACTATATAGCTGTGAATGTATCAAGTCTCTGAATGTTCGAAGTTTAGCAGATGAAATTGTGAATGCAGATGCCAGGAAGCGCGAATAGGCATAGCAATGTGGATGTGAACGCATGACTACATCACAGCCGCTAATCATGAGTATTGTTGACTTGAGTTTATTCATCTTGAACCATTTTTTGAAAAAGTCTCATTCTGTTGATTTTTAGTGCGCTGATCTAATCGTGACGCGTGAAGAAAGAGGGTTTCTGTATTTTCTTCATATCTTCCCTACTTTTTATGGATTCAGATAAAACTTTCCTAAAAAGATTTACTATCTGATTGTGCACGGAGTCATGAAAAGACATTTCTCATAAAAATAAAAAATAAACGACTTTAATTTTGTAATATTACAGACATCATATGAAAACCACTTGCAAAAGCATTCCCAGGGGACCGGTCAGAATGAAGAACTTCGCAGTATTTCATCAACATCTCTGTTGTTTTTGATAGTTATGTATTCCATACTTTCGAAACGGCTTCGCGTTTAAGTTTCAATGAAAAGATTGATTGACATGTACCATAGATATAAAAAACAACCCAATACTTATGACAGAAATCTGTCAGACTTACAGCATTAGTTTTTATACAAAAAAGTACATTTGTCACGCATTTATGCACATTTATGTTGAAGTGTGTAGTGAAGTTTAGGCAAATGGTACTTTCGTTTCTTGCAGAGCTTCAAATGCTCTATTATATTATAATAGCTTGTTAAAAAGTTCACTTAATGACGAATTCATTACACAAATTATAAGTGATAGTTAAGCGTTCTTTATCTGAAATGAAAAGCGAAAATTTTCTCTGAAACCATTAAGTAATCCTTATTTTTATTAATTACGTTGCACTATGAAAGTTGGAGAGAATACTGAGAAGATAGCACTTTTGAAGCTTTACACAAACTTGTTAATTCAGTTTTTCATAGTATAAAATGTGAAATTCACGTATCTCAAACTTCATTATTCTGACTTGATTGTAAATATTAGATTAAATTACTAATAAGACTTATAAATACTCATTAGATAATCTCGGCTACTAACGTCTATATTATGAGCATGGCTCGCTTTGATCTGCACTGGGACGAAGAAGACGACTGGAGCAACTTGACTTGAAATGTTCATTGATTATTTTGTTCGAAAACTTATGCTAGTGTCACAAAATGCACAGTGCAATTTGTTTATCTAGATTGATGTGACAGCGCATGAACACAATCAAGTTGCATTTCGAGTTTTGAAGTTACTGGTACTCAATGTTCCTATCATTACTACAGTAACACTTTTTGCCTTTATTCCTGTGACATCCACATGCATGCAATATCGTGGATGATCAAATGTTGCATAGTAAAGAAAATACTCAGTCTACATCTATGAAAACTAGACAAGATGCAGCGAAAATGTGGAGGCTCTCATTCATTGTAAGCCATTCTTCAGTCTCAACAAAATAGGGTCGAATTCATGTTCTCTACCTCCCCCTTAAAAACAAATGTTTGACTACGGCAGAACGTCGAACAACCGCCTCCTCAGTTGATAAATGTGATATCGATACACCATCGATCAGATTTTGAGTAAACTAATCAAAAATATCCACTTTTCAAGCTATCTTCTCAGAATTGAGAATAACTTTATGTGACTATTTAACAATCTGAATCATAGAAACATGCTTTTGATCATATCGACAAAAATAAATAGCTAAATACAGGGAAGAAGCTGGATATAAGTGGCATTATACTTTAAGACCAGTAGTTGAATAAATTGATGTAGCAGAAGTAAAACAGCAACTCATGCTACATACCCAAACCCAAACTCAAACCCAAACCCAAACCCAAACTCAAATACCCAAACCCAAACCCAAACCCAAACTCAATACCCAAACCCAAACCCAAACCCAAACTCATAAACCCAAACCCAAACC